GAACATAGATTCTAATAATATTTTTCAACTTTGTATAGATTGATTACATATTTGTTAATAAATTCATTGATATTAAGAATAAAATAAGAAAAGTTAATCAATAATTATATATTTTCTTTCTATTTGAAAATTATTGCCTTATTCTTTGAATTAAATAATACAAAGAAAAAAGACCGCGTTAAACTACTTTTTTAGTTATTCAGAGGAAGAAAATTTTTTTATTTTTATGAACACATTTTTAATAAAAAAATATCTTCTAAAATCTTATTATTAATTTTGAATAGCAATATTCTACAAGAAGCTACAAATTGAAAGATATCTAGACGAATGTTATATCTAGGCAACTTAATATATTAAAAAATTTGAATTCCATTATTTTAGTAATAGTTTAATTCTTTGATGATTTGAAAAAGATATTGATTTTAATAAGATCTATTGGTTTTTTTGTATTTTCTCCCAATATTTATTCTGAACTAGGTAAGATTTAATCATAATTTGTAACTTAAAAATAGTACCTTCTGGAGAAAAGCATACTGAATAAACATAACGATAATGGCTATACAATTAACATTTTCGTCATCCTCTTTCAAAATCCCATTGAATAATTAAATTAGAATAATACGCAAAAACTATTTGGTGAGAAGCACACAGAAATTATGCCTCTACTATAAAATATAGATAATGTTTTTCCTCTCTTAATATCCCATATATGAAAAGATGTACATAGCACAAGATGCTAACATAGTACCATTAGGCTAAAAGGATACTTATTTGACCTTTTAAAGATTGCCCTTCAAATGATGCAATTAATCAACTCTTATATTTTACCATTTATAATGAAATAGTTTTACACAATTTAAATTTATTCCGCTAATATTTACATTATCAAATTCAGATCCACCTAAATCACACCTAACAAAGTTGGCTCGCACTAAAGAAGTATTTGAAATCTTAATGTTTTCAAAATTTTTGTATCTAAGGTTCACATACATTTAAACTAATAAATGTAATAAATTTGAGCCACATAATATTGGAGTGTTATCTATGGATTTGAGATGAACTAAAAATTACAAAAATTCTATCATCTATCTCTTCTCCTTCATGATTGTAATTAGTTACCTTATAGTTTAATAATTTTTTCATCAGAATAGTCCTTTTATTGAAGTCATGATCTTTTATTTTTTTTAAGCCATCAGTTATTTGTTTCAGGTCCTTTATTATTTCACTCTATTTCTTTTTATTATCACCTTGTTGTAAGATTTATTATTCCAAATATTTATGATTTATATCATCTGAAAGATATCCAATGCAATCTTAAACTTTCT